TCAGAGTGATCTTGTGGTGTGTTTCTAAAACATCATTGCATACATATAAAGGGCATGGGAACAAATCTCTAAGCCTCACTTATAACCCTAATATGCATCTATTAGTATTATGAAATCCTCGATAGTTGCAGCTTCTTATCTCTAAATAAGCTAGGAAAATGAATATCTATATCCTACTCGTTCAACTACTTTTATTAAGAAAATCATTTGTTATTGGATCTCTCACAACAAAAAGTTGTCATCTACTCCTAAGTTGGAAAAACAAAGAAATAGACTTATAATAGATTATCATATAAGATAACGAGTCACTTAACCACACACCATATAACATAAAAACACTTTAATATTAACTTCACATTGCTCAACTACAAAAGGTTTAGCTCATAGTGAGTAAAATAAGCATAACACAGAGAGATATTAAGCTACACATTCCTAAACAAGAAGATGGAAGTTCTAAACCTAATGATGACACTTTAATCACTTGTAATCAGCAAGCGATGTCTTCTGTCACACCTTCCCTCAACTCGAACACTGGTTCCTCCTTAATTTCACTTCTGCAGAATTTTCCATGTTTTAGAACCTCTCTTTCTTCATTGTATTTCAACTCTATTTATAGAGTTTTCATAGTTGTATATTGTCTCTCTTTGGTTCTTGGGCCTTTACAATGATCCATTAACTTAAGCCCAAAGAATAAAACATATTCCTTTGTCTTGTACAATGATAGTACACTGCACATGGGAGGCAACATGGCACTATGGCAGAATTGCAGTAGCAGTAGCTGTGTGGCAGCAATAGCCGCACACCAAAAACAGCTTTTCAGAGTTTTGTCTTGTAGTGATTCTGATCCATTCATTTTCTCCTTTTGTCTTGTAGTGTTTCATCATTATCCGTTCATTCTTTCCAACTCAGCTCTACTTTCTTCTCAAATCTCTGCCACATCAGCACTGAAGTTGACAACTCATATCAACATGTTCTAGATCAAGGTTTGATGGATGGTGTATCAAAATTCCTTTAGTGAATATACTCAACTATAACGCTGATTTTACACAAGCAAAAAACACATAAAATTGACAAAAGAGAGCACCTAGTATGCTTTATCCTAAACTAATTAAAGTAATATAAAACATAAATAAATGACAATATAATAGATATAAATCACCCTAACATTCAAGTATAAAAGGATTAAATATCTCACATAAAGTTAGTTATCACTAAGTTGAGGTTTAGTTTGGCTAATCATTCGTAGACGAATTATTTGGGGTTTATGGTGATTTTGGGGTAATATGTGAACACTGATGAAATTGCCAATTATTATGATGTTTGATGTGTGATTGGTGAAATTTTTATGTGTAATGGTGTTAGAATATAGTAGATGAAGTATGATAATGTGGTAAACTAAATTATGCACTTTGATGTAGAAAAATTGGGGTTTGGGTTTGAAAAGGATGATTTTCATACCAAAAAAATAGTAGAAAAATTGTTTTGGTCAGTTGTAACCAATTACAAGTTTTGAGGTAACCGGTTACCTGATAAAAAAAATAGGCATGGAATGGCAGGTTACAAGGGGTGTAACTGGTTACCAGAATTTGGGTAACTGATTATCATATGAAGTCAGTAGCGTTGGATTTTAGGTTATATCGGGAGTAAGCGATTATCACTTTGGAGGTAACCGATTATCACTATTCTGGCAGAAATATTTTTAAAACTTTGAAAATTCATAACTTAAGTTGTGAGCGTCTAATTGATGCGTGGCTCGGATCGTTGGAAAGCTGATCTAACATAATTTATCTTAAAAATATTTTTAGTACTATGATTCCAAATATTTGATGCGCAGATGGGCGATTTGCACTGTCGAGTTATGTCTTTTTGGGAAAAATATACAAATGCCTTGCATGATTGATATTTGGGATATTCTATTTTTAATGATGAACGTGTTTTTGTTGTGGAATTAATTATGATGATATTGGATGTTGATGTGATGTAATAAATGTTGCTTGTGATGGCGGTTGATGACGTGCATGATAACTATATGTATACATGCTATGTGATGATGAATATATGATTGAAACAACTGGCTGAAAATCATTAAACAATGAAGTTTCCATCGAACGTCTTTTATCTCACATGAAGGGAAAGGTAAACATCGAGAAAACCTGAGAAGGGAGAAGTCAAGGTCTTGCGACCTAGAGGTCGGGTAAGGGAGTTTGTTACGCGAGGGGAAGGTATTAGCACCCCCACACGCCCGTAGTACTCTATGATATCCACTCTTGTTATCTATCTTATGAGTGTGTTTAATCTATGCTTACTGTACTACTGAGGAATAATGCATGCAAAAGAAAGGAGATAATAATGTAGGGAAATTAAAGTTGTGCTTGCTTAGGCACTACCCCAATGCCTACGTATCATTTTTGAGGAATGAGAGTTATCGTAGTTAGGCTCACAAGTTTTTGTTTGTTTTGTGTTTTTTATGAGCAATGTTAATTCCGCCTTCTGCCGCAGCTCGACCTTTGGAGACTCATGCGTTGGCGCAGAAGTAAATTGACATGTCTTTACCTGAAAATGGTTTTGAGTTACGCCCTCAAGGCAAGATGCCACATTTGATTGGTTTGTGTTTTGTCACCTTGAGAAAGTATTTAAGTGTGATTAAGCATGTTTTATGATTTTTCAAGAAAAATAAAGTTTTAGTTTTAAATGAAAATGAAAAAAGGGAAGAAAAAAGTCTATGGGAGACTAGCCTATTTCTAATCATAATGTTTTCATACAACGGTGGTCCTAAGTTTTGGATTAACAAAAGGGAAACGTCTACCTAATGTTAGTGTGCGTGGTTTACAACCTTGGTCTAACTTGCATCCGAAAGGAACAAGCATATCCTAAGGGAACATGGTATAGAAAGCGGGTAAGCAAACAAGCTCGAAAGAGCACACACATAAAAAGGTAAATAAAAGAAGTGAAATGCTTTAGTCAAGGCGAGCTTATCATTAGAGACAAACAATCGGGAATACATTGTAAAACAAAAATGTGATGTCCAAAGCGACTGAACACCTAACCAAGATATAGGAGATCGAGGTAGGCGATAGAAGACAATATGAACGATCACGGAGTATCAGCATCGGCCAATGCGAACTCCTAACAAAGTGTGGGGTTTTGATTGCGAAACCCTTCCCCACTTGACAAATTGATACACATGATTTTGGGAACATGTCCAGAGTTCGGAACTTGCAAAAAGTGAGCATATGAACGACACAGACGAAAACTGGTGGGGGTTGATTGCTAACCCTTTCCACTTGCCTTCCCATAAGGACTTAGGAATGGTTGCTACAAAAGGACCTAAAAGCATCATCCCGCTATACAAGCACAAATGTAAACACATGTGCGGAATACCTATTTCAAATGTACGGTTTTAAACAAACACAAATAGCATACAGAAAGCACACAATGTGGAATTTCCCTAAACCGGTCTTTAAATAAACCATAGGGATTCCTGACATGATCAACAACGGAGATCCCCTTTATACATCTCTACCATACTTCTCATGATCTCTAGAAGAGCGGTAAAGAAATGCGGTAAAGTGTGGAGAAATATAAAAGTAGTAGCGGTGACTACCAAAGCAAGTAAATCATCGAGAGTAGACAAAAACGATGGAGAAGCAAGGAGTACGCATCGAGCGAGCTTCACCAAGGAACAAACAAAGTCAGAAACGATATCCAACTAAGATAAAAGCAAACGTGTGTTGCAAATGCAACGCGTAATCAGAAGTTCCTGCATGAAGTATCATAAAATATCACATGCATCTGGACAACATATAATATGATATAAATTTCTCAGGACGATGAAAAGTAAGGCGTGTCGCATCGGAAGAGAGCATAAGTTGTATGCTTCGATCACATAACAACTTGTTATGCTACATGATCAAAAGCATAAAAAATGTACCTTGCATAATGAACAAACACGTCGAAAATAACAAGGCGTGACGGTATGAACATATAAATAAAAATGAAAAGAAAAAAGTATTTTTTATTAGTTTTCATGTGAGGACAATTCTATCAAAACTAAGGAAATTCTAGAAAAAATTCTATGATATGCCACTATTCTTTATTGTTTTTTGTCATAAAAAACCTACCAAAAACTAGAGAATTAGTTCCTAAAAAATCGATTAAAAAAAACTAACAAATTTTATTAATTTTATACTTTTTTATCATAACAAAAGTATAGAAGAAATTAAAAGAAAATTCTAAATTCTACATTAAGTTTTTATTAAGAAAGTTTAAAAGAAAATTTAAAGTAAAAGAAAAAAACTAAAATGGTTAAAAAGAGTCAGGGGTGTGAAAGCTGAAATTAGGGGGTGCAGTAATCAGGGCGCAGACCCATCTCAGAAAAGTCCAAAAGTTTTTTGTAGCAATTATCTCAGTATGTCCAAAAATAGAGTTATGGGCTCACAAGAATGATGGTAAATTGGCTTGGGGAGTGTGTGCGAATGATGTAAAGGTGTGGACTGAAACAGACACTAGGCCCAATACCGCTTGGATCCAAAACTAGTATTTTTTGTATAACAAGCTACAAAAAAATGCTGATGAACATAATGAAATGTACTTTGGTCCACTATCCACAACGCAGGCCACAAATTTCAGTTTTCTCTTCAATTTCAACAATTATTTACATTTTTATTTGAGTTATTAACAAGGCTTTTAAAAAAATAATTAAAAGAAAAATGCCAAACGATGTAGTTTTATGTTAGGTTGAGAGTGACTGTTGAAATTCTTAACACAGAGTGCATCTCTTTATACCTTTCACCATAAATCACTCCGCCGCTCCGGAGGTGGTGGAGTTCCACCAGTCTCTAAGATTCTTACATCACCTTATTTTCCTTGTTATTGTCTCTCTGTTTCTATACCTATTTTCTTCCAATTTCCCCTCATCTTTTTTGAATCTAACAAACCTCATAACCCTAACGGAGTTAAAGAGAAATTAATTGATCAAAGAGCAACCTTCGAGAACGATTATGAGGGGTTTTGATCATACTCCAGACATTCTACATTCTCGTATAAAAAATAATGAAGAAGTTCGAGGAAAGATGAAGGCTCGAATCTTACTAGTCGGAGTCGCTCCGAAGGTGTTTCACGATCGCTGCCAACGGAAGCAGGAGTCCAGGGAGTCTTCAAGAAGTAGGTAAAGTAAGATCTTATCTCTTCTGTGTCTTTCACTCTCCTCTTATGTGTTTCTGTGCTTGCACGATATTTTTTTATTGAATATGAGGTTGATTCAAAGGATTGAATGAGGAAGGACGAAACTGCTGCTGTAGATTCGTGATGAAGACGTTAAGGTGATGATGATGAAGATTGAGTGCGTGAAGATGTAGATGTTGCGGTGAGGTAGAGAAAGTTGAAGAATGATTGTGATGATGATGAAAATAGAAGAGACTCAGAAATATTTGGGTAATGCTTCGTGATTCCCTTACTTGCTGATCGATATTCCTTTTCTTCTCCTCTTTACGTTTCTGTTGTCCTGAAAAAAGATCCGTGTGGAAATTGCAGGGTATTGAGCGTTGTTGTTGTACAGAGAATCTGAGAGGTTTCGTAGAGGAGATTAAGTGAAGGTTGAAGGTGATGAGTGAAGGTTGAAGACAGAGTGAAGAAAGAGAGAAGATGAGAGGCGAGAAGATTCAAGGTATTTGTCATTTTTTTGTTGTGTATGAACCTCCCATCTCCCCTTTATGTTATCTTCTGTTATGATCTGTTGGGAAGTTGGTTAAGGTTAAGGCTGTTAGTTTTTGTTAGCATTTAGTTACAGGCTAGGTCGTAACTTATTCTGCTGATAAAATTGTAACTGCATCCCTTTTTATCCTCCGACTAAATTATGTTATAGCTGAAAGTATGTTAGCAACTAATTTTTTATTCTGTCAAGCTAAGCTAGCATATTCTGTTAGGACAGTTAGTTGTTATTGATTTTTTCTGTTAGAATGTTTATTGCTGTTACTTCTTGATTTTCTCTTCTGTTTTGATTTATCATATACAGGGTCACGGTTTGCCCATGGTTTTTTATGATGAATTTTACGGCAAAGCTTATAGCGGTGAGATATAGTAAAGTTATTTTTGAGGCTTATAGCAGTGGGCTTTCTGACTTACGATAGTAGCAATGTCAGTTGGCTATTGGGATTAGTGCTTAGAAGTTTGTTTAGATTCAGTTATGAAATTCTGTTAGAGTTCTGTTTTTTTTGTTTTTTTATTTTCAGTTAGAAACTTAACTTTGTTAGTAACAGCCGGTTATGTTAGGAAGTTAGTGTTATCTAATTATAAAAGTTGGGGTTAATACTGCTACTATTAGTTTAAGATGGCTGTTAGTGAACTGATGGCAGTAAAGGAGATTGAAGGTGTTGAAGGATAAAGGTCAACGATTCTTGAAAGATGTTGACGGGTATGTGTATAAGATGAAGATGATGATAAATTTTAGAGAGAATTTTATTGTGCAGCATCGGTGGCTGAAGGAAGGTGATAATGTTCTGATACAAGGCTGATGACATGTTGCAGATAAGTTGTAGTATGGCATAAGAGTGGAATAGTGGGTCTGATGTGAGTTTGTTACATGATTTAGTGGACTACTGGCTTGATGTTGGCATATGAAGTAAGTGTAGCTAGTTAGAATTGGTGCAACAATGCGTGATATATTCTTGTGAGTTCCAAGGAGTATTTAGGTAACATGGCAGGTGAAAATGAATGTAATGGTGTTTGGTATGGTAAATGGAACAAAGAATGTTGTAATAGGTTATATGTATCATGCATACAATAAATTGGTTTGGGTAATTGGAATAATCATGGTCTTCTTCATGGAATTTGAAGATAACAACAGACGAACAACCATATGTCTTGGGGTAGTGGGTTCACTTTGGTCAACTGTTTGACAAAAAGAGAACAATAGGTTAAATGTACTCTCTTTTGTATAATTTCCAATGTAATATATTTGCAATGGATGTTTGGTATTCATAATTGATGCTCTTGAATATGTATTGAATTCTAGAACATGTAATGATATTTTCCTTCACATAAGTTTGAATTCTTCTCTCCCTCCATTTTTATTATGTACTTGAATTTTCAAAGTCTTTTCCATAATTCTCTACAAGAAATGAACTATGTTCTTTATCTTGCAAACTTTAATGAGCTCATGGATGAAATTCCAATAAGATCTAATAAGAAGACTTGTGACCCAAGTAATGAAGCGTCACTTCAATTGATTATGAGGACCAAAATGAGCATGTGAACCCTATCTTGCCATGTATGCATCAAATCTTGCACAAACTTGTACCTTATACAATTACTGAGACCCTCTGAATAATAATCTTCACCATTGAATAAAAAATTTCATAAGGAACCCTCTTGATTATCACATGAAATAGGTAAACAAACCCTAACTCATACAATGGTAGTCGAAGAAACAACTTGAATTGCCCTTGAATGTAGATGAGAGCCTCAAAACCAAAACACTAATTACCAAGCCCCTGATCCTAATGCCAATTTTATTGATTAATGAAGCATGATGTGTTAGATGACCTAACGGAAGTTATGTACATGATAAAAGTGAGAGATGCATAAGCCAGATAAAAGTGAAAGGGTAGGAAAAATTTGGGATATTATAGATACCCCTATTTAATCGTCTTAAACCTGAAAGTACTATTGGCGCGTGCCTTTCGGAAGTTCGAGGTAGAAGATGATTAAATACCAATGCCAAAAATTTATTCTGAGAGAAAGTGTGAGTATTTGTTTATTTTTGTGATATCTGAGGGAAAGAAAATTCTAGTTTTTCCTGGTGAGAAAGACTTAAGGGTAACTTTTAACATAGCGACGGTGCTAATACAAGACGAAGACTAGGCTTATAACTTAGCAACAAAGGCTAATACAAGGAAATGTAATGACTTGTAACGTGGCGTGATGCCAATACAAGACAAAGGTTGAACTTGTAACATGGTGTGCTTCCAATACAAGGAAAAGATAGGCTCGTAACGTGGCGTGATGCCAATACAAGACAAATGTTGAACTTGTAATATGGCGTGATGCCAATACAAGGAAAATATAGACTTGTAACGTGGTGTGATGTCAATACAAGGACAAAGATTAGACTTGTAATGTGGCGTGATGCCAATACAAGGAAAAGATTGGACTTGTAACGTGATGTGATGCCAATACAAGGAAAATATAGACTTGTAACATGGCGTCATGCCAATACAAGGAAAAGATAGGCTCGTAACGTGGCGTGATGCCAATATAAGATAAATGATGGACTTGTAACATGGTGTGATGCCAATACAAGGACAAAGATAGACTTGTAACGTGGCGTGATGCCAATACAAGGACAAAGAAGACTTGTAATGTGGCGTGATGCCAATACAAGAAAAAGATATACTTGTAATGTGGTGTGATGCCAATACAATTACAAAGATAGACTTGTAACATGGTGTGATGCCAATACAAGGACAAAGAAGACTTGTAACGTAGCGTGATGCTAATACAAGGACAAAGAAGACTTGTAACGTGGTGTGATGCCAATACAAAGACAAAGATAAACTTGTAACGTGGCGTGATGTCAATAAAAGGAAAATATAGACTCGTAATGTGGCGTGTTGCCAATACAAGGAAAATATAGTCTCATAATGTGGTGTGATGCAAATACAAGGAAAAGATTAGTATGAAAAAACGACGGATAAGATCAACGGGCGACCCATTATCCTAAGGTGAAACATAAGAGCAATCTGTCGAAGAACTAGGCCTATGGGCGACCTCAGATTTCTAAAACAAAATCTACAGGGAGAACCTGGCCTACGGGAGATCTCAAGGTTCTAAGATGAAACCTTATCTACTGGAGAACTAGGCCTATGGACGACCTCAGAATTCTACAATATGAACATTGGTTACGACATGACGAGTGAAGGTACAAGGTACAACTGACTGTACTGATTTTATTTGGATCTGGAAGGAAAATAGACACAGACGAGTATTTGAAAAAGCTGACCCGAATGAGTGTTAGGAAAACTGACACAAACAAGTGTTTGGAAGACTGATACAGATGAGTGTTTAGGAAACTGACACAGATGAGTGTTTAGAAGTACTATGTACTAACATCGCTAGCTGGATATCATGATGTAACGAAGGACATCAGCTAAAGGTTTAAAAGTGATATCATCTTGTGGGGATGTATTGTTGTCTTTAAAGGATTCAAGTCTTTTGTGTAAGGTACCCGATCTGGCTTATGCTTCATATGCATGTTTGAATTTCTTTTGCCAGAAAGATCCATTATGATGGATCGACTATGCGCTTTTAAAGATGCAATGCTATGCAGTGATAACTATATGCAATGCAGAGAAATTGACTTCATGGGGATAAGCGAAGGCTCTTTGAGAAATACTGATCATCACTAGGGATGTCGATAAGAACCATCATTGGAAACCTGTAGTATCAAAGATCGTTAGGGATACTGATAAGAATTTGCACTGGGGAGCTCATGATACCAAAGATTACTGATGACTCCGCTGAAGATTGAATTGCCGATAAAGCGAGTTTTCAGGTACATCACTAAATTCCAAATCATGTTATTGGGGAAGAGATAATCTGGCCTGACTTCCCTATATCCTGAACCTTCTTGAGGATGGTAGAACTGAATATGTCGAGGAACGGATACTGAACGCCGTGTGGATCTCTTTGAATACATGCCCTAAGTTTACGCCACACTGAGGAATTACCTCTTAAATCACTTGGGGATAAAAGATGGACATGAAAACTTGTGAATGCCCCGTTTACTCCAATGGGGAAAGTCTATAGGACAAATTTGTGAATGCACCGGTTTAATTATGTGAATGCCCCAGTTTATCTCTCGGGAGATGTGTATTTGCGCGTGCCGAGTCAAACGACAACTCCAAACTTTTTGAATTCACTTGGGGAATAAGGTTTGAAATTGTATGTAGAAGATGAAGGCGGCTTCGTGCGCTAGTCAAGTCAGGGTGATCGTTATGATGCTTTAAGCTTGATTATAATTGTCTCGTACAATATAATTTACTTGAGCAGCTTTGCGAGTACAAATGAGGAATGCCCATGGCTGTGGGATTTTTGAAAAAATCTATTATAAATAGAAGACCAAAATATCCGTGGCACAATACGATATGAGGTGGCCTGCCCCAATCTCTTGAGTCACGAGATAAACTGCTCTTGATTACAGCTTTCTTGGAGAGATTTGTCGAATCTCGACGTGATTGCCTCAGATTGACTGAATTCTGAATAGATTTCTCGACGTGATAGCCTTATAATGATTGGCAAAAGCTTGAAGAGATTTATCGACATGATTTCCTCTGATTTAGTATAGCTTCAAGAGATTTATCAACGTGATAAATTCAGATTTGGCTGAACTCGGAGAGATCGAATCTCGACTTGATTGCACTAGATCAGTAGAATCTACAAACTTCATTTCTAAAGGGTACTCATGTTGTAAAGCACCAAGATTCTTTCGCTTAACAGAATCTCTGGTTAACATGCCCCTGAATAAGTCAATTCTCTTGTGACAACTGACTTTTGCTTCAACAGAGTATTCAAGCTTCTCTGCTCTGACAAGATTGAGCTCTTTACTGATGTTCATTGTGTTAACATACTTGATGTCAATCAATTGTTTTATATGCAGAAGAATTTTTATTATGAGAATGATAATTCTAATGCAACATGTATGTAAGTCTTGAAGTTTGAAAAAACTTTGAATGAAATGGTGTCACAACTCTTTTGTGAACGAATCACTAGCTAGAGAGCAACATTTGCAAATTATTTTTCATGAAATATAATGCAAGCATATGATGCCAACATAGATATTTAAACATACCTCGTAGGATTCAGTTAAACGCTATCTCGTTGTGGCACACTTCCGAATTGACCCATGCTTCTGTTAGGACTTTTAAAGGTTGTAATGTGGCTTGGTTCACGGTTTTTTAGAAACAAAAGGATTTAAGGCTCAAAAGTTTTGGTGCCCACCCATTCTCTATGATGTTATCTATTCCTACGTTTGGTTATCCCGATGCAAGCATTCATCTCTCAAAAGAGGAGTTTGCAATGGTTGAGGAACCACATGGGTTTCTTGGATACGACAGTCACTAACTTTTGATTT